GAGTTATTATTGTTGTTTGAATGGTCTCACCTTAAGGGATTATTGTCTACCCTGGGCCTGCTGTGGCCTGTCCTACCTGAAATTCCCACCTTACACTGTTTCTCTGGCTTAGAAAGTAAAGATGGGGTCACTCTCTGCAGGAAGGAGCATGGTACAGTGGAAACACAACTTGATTTGGGGTCATTGGGCAAGGGTTCTTATCTTCCCTATCGAAACTCATTACTGCTGTGACTTTGGCCAAGGTAATTAAACTCCCTTGGCCTCAGTTTCCTCATCCACAACATGAGAGATCATTAGAGCCAGAAGGAACCTCAGAAGGTCACCTGGTCCAACCACTTCATTTGACAAATGAGGAAAATTATGCTCAGAAGTGCCTTGCTTAGGGTCACACAGCTAGGAAGTGTCTGAGGTGGGTTTTGAACTTGGCTCTTTTTGTTTTCAATAAGCAGTAGAGAGAGTGCCAGCCCTGAAGTCAGGGGGACCTGAGTTTGAATTTGGCTTCAGACACTTACTAGCTGTGTGATCCTGGGTAAGTCACTTCATCCTGTTTGCCTCAGTTTCCTCATCTGTAAAATAAGCTGGAGAAGGAAATGGCAAACCGCTCTAATATCTCTGCCAAGAAAACCCCACATGGGGTCAAGGAGAGTCAGACATGACTGGACAACTTTTTGTTTTCAAAGGCTATGCTTTATTCACTACTCCATAGGACCTTGGCTCTGTATCTATGATTCTATTATCTATGATAAAAATGTTTCGCATTTCTTTTCATGGGTCATTGGGCTCTACTTGTTATTAGGGAGAAGTAGCCTCCTCTTCTAGACCCCTCCCTTTAGAGCAGGTATTAATAATAAACGTAGCTGACAAATGTTGCTTTTTAAGGCTTATGGCATATTTTGTATCCATTAGCTGATCTGAGTCTCAAAATAAAATGGTGAGGTAAGTCATAATGATGATTATGATGATGGTGATGATAAATAGAATTAATACAGCACTTTAAAGTTTGTGATGTGCTATTATAGGTTATCTCGTTTGATACTTGAAGCACCCTGGTGAGGTAGATGCTATTATTATCCCCCTTTTACAGATGAGGAAACTGAGGTAGTCACAGGTAAAGTGACTTGCTCAGGGTCACACAGTTAGTAAATGTCTGAAGCAGGATTTGAACTCAGGTCTTCTTGACTCCAACTCCTATGCTCTATCCGCTTCACTACCTGCATCTACTGCAAGTATTATTATTCCCAGAATTCTCATAGCATAGGTTTTCCAGACAAGGAAAATTCATAGGACCATAGGGAGTTGGAAGGAACAGGAGAGGCCATCTAATATAACTCCTTCATTTTTTTCTTTTTAAAAATTTATTATTTTTTCCAATTAACATGCATTTATTTCTCTCCTTCTGCCAACATTTTCATTTTACAGATGCTGATACTGAGGTCTAGAGAAATTTAAGTGATGTCCCCAGGGTCACACATGTAAGAAGTAGCAAAGCCAGAATTTCAAACCAAATTACTGTACCAAGATGCCTTGGAAGGGATAAGGGGTATGCTGGAACCAATTTGAACAGGTTCAAAAGAGCTGATTGTTAAAATTTCAGTGTGAGCCTTTACATCTTGAAAATCTACAAATGTTATAAATCAGGACTTGATTTGCTGTTCTGCTGATTGTTTGGTTTAATAAAATGTTGCAGAAAATGTTATAGGTACAGATTAAACTTAAAAAGTGTGTGATGGGCAGTATAAGATTTCAAACTATATTACAAAGGGGTAGTCATCAAAACAATCTGGTATTGGGTTGGATATATTAGGTTCACAATACACAGTAAATGACCATGGTAATATAGTGTTTGATAAACCCAAAGATACAAGCTTTTGGGATAAGAACTCAGCATTTTACAAGAACTGCAGGGAAAACTGGAAAGCAGTTTGGCAGAAACTAGGCATAGGCCAACATCTCACACCATATACTAAGATAATGTCAAAATGGCTAAATGATTTGGACATAAAGGGTGATATCATAAGTAAATTAGGGGAGCATGGGAAAATGTATGTGTCAGATCTACAGATAAGGGAAGAGTTTATGACAAAACAAGAGATAGAGAGGATCACAGGAAGTAAAATGGATTAATTTTTATTGTGTGAAATTAAAAAGTTTCTGCACAAACAAAACCAACATAGCCAACATTAGAAGGAAAATAGGAAACTGGGAAAAAATTTTACAGCAAATTTCTATGACAGAGACCTCATTTCTCAGATATATAGGGAACTGAGCCAAATTTATTAAAAATATGAACCATTCTCCAATTGACAAATAGTCAAAGGATATGAATAGACAGTTTCCAGAAGAAGAAATCAAAGCAATCAATACTCACATTAAAAATGCTCTAAATCACTACTGATTAGAAAAATGCAAATTAAAACAACTCTGAGATATCCCCTTACATTTGTCAGTTTGGCTAACATGACACAAAAAAAAGACAGGGGTTGGGGGGATGTGTAGAAATTGAGACATGAATGTATTGTTGATGGAGTTATGAACTAGCCCAACCATTCTGGGAGACAATTTGGAGCTATGCTTCAAGAGCTATAAAACTGTGCATGCCCTTTGACCCAGCAATACCACTATTAGGTTTGTATCCCAAAGAGATCCAAGAAAAGGAAAAAGGACCTATTTGCACAAAAATATTTATAGCAGCTCTTTTTGTGGTGACAAAGAATTGGAAATCGAAGGGATGCCCATCAATTGGGAGTTGGATGAACAGGTTGTCATATATGATTTTGATTGTATACTAATGCACTTTAAAAATAATGAGGATGAAATGAAAAGTTATTGCTATATATTTTGAATCTTCTATGTCCTGCTGTGCACATGACATATTTTTCTTTTCTTATTTTATATTTATGTTTATAATGTTTCTTTTTCTTTTCTTATTATGTATTTAAGTTTTAGCATTTGTCTAAAATTAAAAATTTAAAAGAAAAAAATAATGAGGAGGATAGCTTCAGAAAAACCTGGAAAGTGTTATATGAACTGATGCAGTGAAGTGAGCAGAACCAGAAGAACATTGTACACAGTAACAGCAATATTGTAAGGATGATCAACTATGAAAGACTTAGTTAGCTACTCTGATCAATACAATGCTCCAAGACAATCCCAAAGGTTCTATGATGAAAAATGCTATCCACCTCCAGAGAGAAAACTGATGAACTCAATGTAAATTGAAACATAGTTTTAAACTTTATTTTTCTTGTTTTATTTTTTGTCCATATTTTCTTTTGCAACATAGCTAATATGAAAATATTTTTTGTGTAACTTCACATGTATAAATGATATGAAATTGCTTGCCTTCTCAAGGAGGGGGAGCTGTGGGAAGGAGGGAGAAAATTTGGAACTCAAAATTTTAAAATAAATGAATGTTAAATTTTTTTAATATGTAATTGGGAAATATTTAACGAAATAAAAAATCTTTATTTAAAGTTTCATGGATACTTTTTTTCTTGGTGAGTTGACAGTTAAACATTTACCAGCATATCCCTATTAATGATGAAAAGCTAGTAAATGGTAAAGTCAGGATTCAAATTCAGATCTTCTTAGAAATTATCAGGTTAATTAGTTGTCTCTTTGGAAGACATAGAGAGTCTGTAACCTTGAGGATTCTGGACAAATCCAAGGGGCCAAGCCCAGGGTGAGAAATGCCCAGCTATATCAGGGAAAGGATTTTGTATCTCTTGCCTTCTATCTCTACTAGTCCCTCCTTCCTCTCGCTTTCTCCTCATTTTTCATCCCACTTCTCTGTCCATTTTCTCAGACTGCTAATAGACAGACCTGAGCCTACAGCCATTCTAAAAAAACCTGGACTAAAAATCCTTAAACCAAAGACATTGCATGAAATGATGAAGAATGAAATGAGCAGAACCAAGAGAAAATTGTATACAGCAACAGAAAATTTTTTTAGACCAACTTTGAGCGACTAAGTCATTTTGAGTGTTATAAATACTCAAATCAACTACAAAGGACGTTTGAAGGAAGATGCTATCTGTCTCCAGAAAAAGAACTGATAAATAGAAGTATGTATCAAATGGTTTTATACACACACACATATATATACACAAACACACACACATATATAAACATATACACACATATTTGTGTCTAATGGTAGCAATCTCTAGGCACAATTGAGGAGGAAGGGAAAAATATAAAAAGTGTACAGCAAAGAATAAAAGAAAATTTAGAAAGAAGAATAGAAAGTAGAGTAGCTTTGAAAATGGTGTAGTATTTCTAGTTTTTTTTTTAAAGTAAATAGTATGAAATGTAAATTCATGGTTTTATAGTGAATCCTCTTTTTATGTTGTGCTGTGTACATGGAAATGGTTCTTTTTTGTCTTTATGTATTTAAGTTCAAAATGAATAAAACAAACAAACAAACCAAAGTTATTGCTCCTAGAATGAGAGGCCTGGTCTTCACAGTCCTAAATGAACTCTTTCAAAGGAAACACTTTTTGACAAATCAGAGAAACACATCAGCATGTGCCCTATAGACTACACCAAGTAAACAGACATGGAGTCTGAGAATCATGCAGCCTTAGAACTTGAGTCACTGAGCTCATCTTCCCTCCCAAACAAAAGAATCCCCTCTGAAGCATTCATGATATTTAGCCATTCAACTTCTGCTTGGATCTGTCTTGTGACAGGGAGCTCACTACTTTATAAAGTAGCCAATCCATTTCTTGACTGTTCCAATTGCTAGAAAACCCTTCCTCATAGTGATCCAAAATCTCCTCTTTAGTACTCCCACCCATTGGGCCTCATTCAGTCTCCCCAACCCCTTGGACTCAGCATCTAGTCTGTCTTACATGTAATAGCCCTTTCAAAGGGGAAGCACATAGCATGGCATTCTGGTCCCACCACATGTCCCATTGCTGCAAGAATGCATTTTTCTGGGAAGCCTGAATTTTGAACCCACTCTTCAAGGATGGGTCTGGCCAGCTCCTGTCACTTACCCTCATTCCTAACTCGATGTTTTCCCCACCGTACACTTCCATGCCCGGGTCAAGCAGACCGATGTCCCCGAAATACTCCCGGTCCACCACAAATGAGCAGCCAATCATGGCTGGTGTCCTAATGGGAAACAGAGGGAAACAATGGATGAAAACCCTGGGAAGTCACATCGCTAGCAAGACTCTGAAGCAGAGTTTATGGTGGCAACACAGGGTTAGGGCATTACTACAAGAAACTAGGGAAGCATTATCCTCAAGAAGCCCAGTCTTAATGACCAGTGTAGATTAAGCAAGGGATCAGTGGAAATGATGCAACACTTTTCTACAGGCTGTAAAAATTTAACATAAACAGAAAACCTGACAAAATATAACTTAGTGGCTAACGTTATACCTCAGAAGTGCACTGTCTTTTAAGGAAAGGCAGATAACATCCCCCTATTAAAAACACATACCTCAAAATATCCAGGAGAATTCAACAAATAAATGATACCAGGACTAGATTGTTTTCATGAACCAAACTGTTACTCACAATTACCCAACTATAATATTGATTCATAAAAGCAAAAATAATGTGTTTTAACAGATGTTACTATTTCAAATACTCATAATCTCCAAGCTACACGGAATGAAAAGTTTTCGAAGCATGAAGACCTGGCCAAGGAGATCAAAGGATGGGGCCATTGTAGTGGATAGAGTATTGAACTTGGAATCAAGAAGACGAGTTCAAATCTTACCTCAGATGCTTACTAGCTGGGTGACTCTGGATAAGTTACTTAAACCTCTTTTTGCCTCAGTTTCCTCATTTGTAAAATGGGGATTATAACAGCACCTACTCCTCAGGGTTGTTGTGAAGATCAGAGATAATACTTGTGAAGTGCTTTATAAACCTTAAAACACTATATAAAGGCTAGCTATTGTTATTATTAACTTCTTCTACTAGTTAATGCTATCTCTTTTGTCTTGTCGGCTACTGGCGTTGTACCATGGATGCTTTTGGTGAGCTTACAAGTGATTAGTTTAGAATAGTTATCCTATTATTTTGGTGTCTAGGTGGTGCCATAGTACACAGAGCGCTGAACCTGGAGCCAGGAATACTTGAGTTTGAATACTGCCTCAGACACTTATTAGTTGTATGACCTTGAGCGAGTCACTTAACCTCTGTCTGATTCAGTTTCCTCATCTGCAAAATGGAGATAATAATAGTACCCATTCCCCAGGGTTGTTGTGAGGATAAAGCAAGATAATATTTGTAAAGCACTTTATAAACCTTAAAGTGCTATATAAATACTAGTGGCTATTATTATTATTATTATTATTATTATTCTTGTTCTGTCTGCTACTGAAGTTGTTCCAAGAATGTTTTCAATGAGCCTAGAGAGGATGAGTTTGCTTGGGAGCTAGGTGGTGGAGTGGACCAGGAGTCAGGAAGACCTGAGTTCAAATCCAGCCTCAGACACTTCCTGATCTGTAAAATGGGAATAACAATATCTACCTCCCAGAACTGTTGTGAAAATCAGATGAAATAAATAGCTAGAAGATGCTTTACAAACCTTAAAGTGCCATAAAAATGCCAACTACTATTACTCTTATTTAACAAAAAATATTTTATCCCCCTGTCCAAATAGTTTGTAGAACACTAAATATAAAGAACTTATAGCAGGATGGTAGCTTGCCCCAGAATCATTTGATATGTAGATGAGAAAAAGCAAGATAATGAAAAGAAAATCAGAATTATACACCAGAAGCTCAGGATCCTTCATAAAGTAATAGATAGATAACAAATCTCCGTACAATAAATACATTCTTCAAAACATCCCTGAGAATTCAATAAATAAATTGAACCAGAACCATATGATTATCACTGAAAAAAATGCAGTTACTCACAATTGCTGGGACATAACATCGATACCTAACAATCTAAGAACAATGATTCTGATTGATACCCTCATCCCCAAATACTCATCATCTCCAAGCTATGTGAAATGGAGAACTTTCAAAATGCAGAAACTGAGTAGAAGAAATAATATCCACATGGCTACAGGAATAGGAACGTATCATTTTCCCCATCATCCTGTCTGCTACTGCAGATGTACCAAGGATGCTTTCAGGGAGCTTTGCAGAAGATGAACTTACATCCCAATTCTTTTATCCAATCGCAAAGGGCAATTAATTTTGTTATCCACCAGTGCAGTAGTCCACAGAATATTAAATATAAATGACTGACAGCAGGATGGCAACTTGTAAGAGGACCGTTTCTATCTTAATGCCCTTGAAAAAGAAGAATGAGACGAATACCAGCATTACGAGTGTACTCTTATATGGTGCTGTGTGGTTTCCAAAATGTTTGACATCTATTATCCCATTTGAGCATCAGGAAACCCTGTGAAGGAGGGGCTTTGGATATGATGATCACTGCTTTGCAAAGGAGAAAATTAAGGATGGGACAACTGAGGAGGTTTGCCCTAATTGTAGAACAGCTGGATGTTTAAAGTTGTTCAGTCCTCATTGAATCATCAAATTTCAGAACTGGAAAGACTTCAGTGACAGTGTAGTCCAATACATATCTGAATAAAAATCATAATAGCTGACATTTTCAAAGCACTCCAAAGCTTGAAAAGGACTTTCAATAATAGAAGCTTGCATTTTTATAGCCTTTTAAGTTTTTCAGGGTGCTTTACACTTATTATCTCATTTGAGTCTTATGATAACCTTGGGAGGCAGGTGTTGTTGTTATTCCCACAATGGATAGAGTGCTGGGCCTGGAGTCAAGAAGACTCATCTTCCTGAGATCTAATCTGGCCTCAGACACTTCCTAGATGTGTGACCCTGGGTAAGTCACTTAACTCTGTTTGCCTCAGTTTCCTCATTTGTAAAATGGAGAGGGAAATGGTGAATCACTTCAGTATCTTTGCCAAGAAAAGGCCAACTGGGGTCACAAAGTGTCAGACATGACTGAACAACTGAATGTTACAGTTGAGCAAAGAAATGACTTACTCAGAGTCACATAGCTAGGAAGTATCTGAGACTGGATTTGAACCTAGGTCTTCCCGATGCCAAGCCCAGCATTCTGCCCACTGCACCACTTAGCTCATTTGTTTGTCATATCAGCCATTAGTCTTCCCATTGAACAAATAAAGAACTGAAGGTGATAGAGATTAAGAGACTTGTCCAGGGTTACCCAGCTGATAAGCATCTGAGGAAGAATTTGAACCCAGATCTCCCTGACTCCAAGTCCAGCACTCTTATCTACTAACCTTTACAAAATACTTGATAAGCAGTCATCCAACCTCTGTTCAAAGATTTCTATTTTTTTTTAGGCAATTGGGGTTAAGTGACTTGCCCAGGGTCACACAGCTAGTGAGTGTCAAGTGTTTGATCTGAGGTCGGATTTGAACTCAGGTCCTCCTGACTTCAGGGCCGGTGCTCTATCCACTGGGCCACCTAGCTGCCCCTCAAAGATTTCTAATGATGGGGATCCCACTACCTCCCGAAGCAGCCTAAGTCACTTTGGGAAAGTCCTAGTTGTTGGAAAGTTTTCATCATCTCTGCTTATACAATTCCCAAATAATCAATAAAGGCAGCATTTTATAGTGGAAAGAGCCCTGTTTCTGGAGTCAGAGAACCTGGATTCAAATTCTACTTCTGATACTTATGACCTGAGAAACCTTGGGCAAGTCTCTCAACCTTCTTGTGACTCAGTTTCTTCATCTGCAAAGTGAAGGAGTTGGACTTAGATGATCGCTGAGGTACCTTCCAGCTCTGGATTCTATAATTCTATGATCTCTTCTGAATAATTCCATGAGAAAACATCAGTTAAATACAATGCTAGACATAGTGAATAACATAACTGAGTCAACCCACTTTTTGATGGATACTGGGGCAGTATGTTGGCAGTCTAAAAATGAAATGAACATGGGGGTCTTCAGTAGCCATGCCAAAGACTTGTAATTCAGCTGGTTGTTGATGGCCAGATCATGCCAGGAGCACTGGGACTCTCAGGGTGATGAGCTCGCTGCAGACTCCCTCTAAAAGAACAAAGCTTGATCTCTTTCCCTGTTTTTGTCCTGTTCTCTCCTGCCTCAACCATGTGGTCATTAAGTGCACACATTCATGTTGACCAGCTCCTCTAATATGTCTTGTGAATTCCCTTGCCACTTCTCCACATTAAATCTCTCCACGTTGAAAATAATGGCAGAAAATTGGTCTTGACCATAATTTAGGGAAAGCCATTCCGTACCCGACAACTGGGAAGTCAGAAGTAAATGCCCATCAATTGTCTAAGAATAACAGGGGCATTAAAAAGCGATTACCCTTTTATTTGTGCAAGGATCCAATTTGTTCTGTCATTAGATTTTGGCCGCAAAACTCACACTAATGAAATTTTAATACTGTCTTTGATTTTTAATAGCAGGGTTTTGCTGGTTAAGTTATATTTCATCAACATACAACAGGCGTTCCTCTTTTCTTTTTTTTAAATAATCTCAGGGTGATCTCTGATGAATTGAAATGCCAAATCCCCTGCCAAGACTATTACAGCCGGTAATGATTTTTTTATTATTGCTCAGAGCTCCAAAATAAACTTAAAATAAATTCATAAAGCGATGGAGGCTGAATCAGCTGGCACAGCATTTATATGCATCAGAAATACCCGCTGTGATTAAAGGTCTGGTAACTGACAGCTCAGGCTGACAGGAGCTGATGCCTAATGCCAGTTGGAAGGGTTCAAGATAGATACATAAAGTGTTTATTAAGTGCTTACTATGTGTAAGACATTGAGATTGGTGATGAGGACATGAAAACAAGACATTTCCCCCTATTCTCTAGGAACTTATATTCTTTCTTTTTCTTTTTTCCTTTCCCTTCCCTTTCCCTTTTCCCCTTCCCTTTCCCTTTCCCTCCCCTCTAGCTCTGGATACTGTATTTTTCTTATAAAGGGGGCTTACCGAATGTTTGTTGAATTGAATTAGAATGCCTGGGGAGATCCCAGGGGGAGCTATTTGACTGAAGTGTGGGGTTCATTAATAGGGCACAAAAGCTTAATAACCTGCCAAAGGCTGTGGAGAAAGTCAGTGGGCAGGTACAGATAGATTCTTGGCCTCATGTTTTGGTTTAGGAATCTAA